TCTCTCTCTCTCTCTCTCTCTCTCTCTCTCTCTCTCTCTCTCTCTCTCTCTCTCTCTCTCTCTCTCTCTCTCTCTCTCTCAGTGCTAAATAAAATTTCATTGAACATGAAAAGGACATACAAAACAAACACAGATGACATGAACGTATTGGACAACCGACTTACATCCAAACAATACAAGCACCTAATAAGATTACATACCCAATACTACATTCTTATACACTTCGTCACTCTCTAATCTCCTAAAACTAGTTATATAACTATAAACTCATCACCTATTTCTTCTGGGAAATAAATGTTGCAATCGCGTGATCAAAATCTCAGCGATGAAGTCCATGACTTTGAGAATTGCATTGTTCCATTTCCTTTTAATGGCCAGAACTGAGTACCATCCTCCAAATCCAATCCCAAAGCCCAAGCCCGCACTAATCCAAAATTGTCGGACCTCTGGTGACCAGGTTCTCAAATCCCCAACATTATTAGATATTGGAACTAACTCATGACTATCACACTTCTTAAGAAGAGGAGGACCACAAAGATGTTCGTTTCCATAGTATGTTGAAGCATCATCGAATGTGCTCATGTGGCCAGCAAAAGGAATTGGACCTGACAAATTGTTGTAGGACAAGTTCAATGCGCCCAAGGAATTCATAGATGACATGCTCGGAGGAATGCCACCAGAGAATAGATTGTTCGAGAGGTCCATCGATTCTAGCTCTAGCAATTGATTAATCTCTTGAGGAATCTTCCCAATCATGTGGTTTCTAGATAGGTTTAACACGCGCAAGCCTATCAATTTTGTCAATGATTCTGGAATTCTTCCCGAGAAATTATTTCTCGAAAGATCTATGCATGTCACAAGAGAGAGAAATTCGGTGTAATCCATCATTAACCCTTTTGCCACTATATCAATTCTCACCATATAATAGAAGCTGTGGTTGCGATCGTAATTATAATCAGCCATCTTCTCTGTAACTTTCATTGCAGTGAAGGTTGTGAACATGTCAGGGATAGTGCCTGAGAGGCAATTTTCAGCAGCATCGAAAACTTGAAGCGAGTATAGACTTGACATAGTCTTAGGAATGGCCCCAATAAGCTTGTTAGATCTCAGAGAGAGAACACGAAGTGAGGTAAGACTTTGGCCAATCCATGATGGTAAATTTCCCGCTAATTGATTGTCACCAAGATCCAAAACTCTAGATGGGTACAATTTTTTAATGACGATGGGATCTCGCCTGATAACTTATTGCCTCTCAACATTAATGTCATCATTTTTTTCAAGTATCCCATGGAAGTGGGAATAGGTCCCATCAATTTATTTCTAGAAAGATCAAGAGCCTCCAAAACCTTCATATTCCCTATAGAGTTGGGAATAAATCCTGAAATACTGTTATTGGAGAGATCCAAGATCGATAGATTTGGCACGACTTCTCCAATATTTTCTGGAATACAACCAGAAATTTGATTGTTTGAGAGATACAAAGAATATAAATTAGGAAGCTTGGCATAAGTCTCAGTTGTGTTCACCAAGTCATAGCATGCAACCTCTCGGATTGTCACTGTGCTCGTACAATGTTTCAAGAATCCTGGCAATAATTTCATGCTTTTGCAAATCTGACGGCGTAGATCAGTTGAGGAGCTGATATTTAACATTTCAAATTTTTGTCCAAAACCCAACCAAGTATTTCCAGAAAAGTTGCGGTAGTTGTATAGAAGTTGAAGTCCTTGAGGGTGAGACGCGGTATGTATTAATTGGCCTTGAAATCTATTTGAACTTAAATCCATACTAATTATGGATTTAAGATTCCAAATATCAGGAGGAAGAGATCCCATAAAATTGTTATAAGATAGGTCCAAATAACTAAGCATGAAAAGGTTTCCTATGCAGGGAGGGAGAGATCCTGTGAAGTGGTTTCTAGATAGAAGCAAAAAACTAAGCATGGAAAGGTTTCCTATGGAGGGAGGGAGGGATCCTGTGAAGTTGTTTCTAAATAGATATAACTCAGTTAGCTTGGAAAGGTTTCTTATGGAGGGAGGGAGGGATCCTGCGAAGTTGTTTCTAAGTAGATATAAGTAAGTCAGACGTTGGAAAGG